AATATGTAAGCTGTCTTCGGACAGCCCACCCGTTTGAACTAATAAAGTGCCAGGGGCCTAAGTGGTCACCTAAATATAAAAAAAAAATAATAATAAATTAACGAATATATGGGACTGTTGCAGTAGAAAGGGCCCAAACTCCCTAAAAATCAAACTTAAGTTTTTTCAAGATTTTAATTAATCTTAAGGTGGACTATACTTTTTAATTAAAAATGGAAATTGGTTTGTATAATAAAAAATCAAGATATTATAAAAAAACTTTTTAGAATACTTGTATGTCACGAGATTACTCGATATAGCTAGCCAATCAAATTACATAATTTTTGATTAACCCAGATCAGTCCGAAAAAGTAAACATGATTTTCTCAAAATTATATATTTCCAAGTTTCGTCTTTTTCTACTGCAACAGTCCCATATTTAAAACATTTTGCAATACTTTGTATAATTTTATTAATAAACTAAATACTTTAAGATATTTCAGAATATTGCAAAAGGTATTTTTTGATTTAATAGCTAATTTGTAATACAATTTTAATTTATTTTCAAAATTAAATGATTTAAAATATTAAAATATAAGAAAAATTTTATATTTTTATACTATGTTTTGAAATAAATTATAGTTTTTAAAATATAACAAATTTAAACAAAACTAATTATCTAAAGTAATTTGCTTTTAGATTAATTTACTAAATTATATGAATTTATAATGTATATTTTATTATCGTTTATAGCTTATATTTTTGAATAGTGTTATAAGTATGTAAAAGCTTTTAAAATATTTCAAAGTATTGAAAAATAATTTAAAAGTTATCAATGTTTGTTTCAGCATAGATTTTATTAATATGTTACTAATTATTTTATAATCTTTTGTAAACTTTCGAGAAATCACAAACTTACAAAAAATATAAATCAAGTGATTCATCATTTATAATATATATTTTTGTATAAGTCTAAGAAAAATTACAAAAAGTTTCAAAATATTTCATAATATAAAAAATGCTTTACATATTTTTATTATGCTATTAATTTATTTAAAAACAAAATATTAATCAATTTAAACCTTTTGTAAACTTTTGTAAGTTTACAAAAATATAAATCAAGTAATTCATCATTTAGAATATATATTTTTGAATAAGACTAAAAAAAAGTGCAAAATATTTCGAAATATTTCTTATTTTTGAAAAATTTTTACAAGTTTTCATTCTAGTATTGATTTATTTAAAAAAAATTATTAATCAATTTAAATCTTTTGTAAACTTTCATAAATTCATAAATTTATAAAAACATTTTGATTATATTAAAAATTTTTTTATATCTTTAAAATTTTTAAAAATGTTTCATAAATATTTTTATTTTTTTTAAGATTAAATCTTAATAGGATTTTATAAATTATTATATACTTCTGTAAACTTTTGTAAGTTTTTACTATATGTAAGAAAAATTGTAAACTTATATAAAAAGTTTATATAAATTTATGAGTTTTTTATAGTGTGTAAGTTTATGATTTTCTTATACACTATAAGTTTTATGTAGTTTTATACTAAATTTTATGTAAGTTTACAATTTTCTTATGTACTGTAAAAACTTATAAAGGTTTATGCATATATATTTTTGCTGATAATATAACTATTATCTTTTTAATAAAATATAGTATGATTACTTGGAATTTAAAAAAAAAAATCTATATAAAAATATATATAATATAAAGTTTTTTTTTATAGCAATTTATTCTTTATTAAACATGATTCAAATAGTAATAGTTGTATAAAAATTTATATATTTATTAAAAAGTTTTATTAGTAAAACTTTAACCTGGTACAATACCTCATAATATAATAAAATAAGTAAAAAATAAACAATGCTATGCATTTACCTAGTATAATGTGATTACTAAGATAAAAGTGTACAATAATAAATCATAACTCTTTCTGATGATCATTTGGATCACAATTTCTAAAAAACTTTTTATTGGAAAAAAATACAGTATACTAGAGTAAAGTCGATGACTCTCATGTAAGACGTAGGAAAAGGGACTGTAAGTTAGCAGCTGTTATTTAGAGGTAGTTCTCATATGCTACCTGCTAATAGCCTCAGAGTTTATTACTCACTAACTGCAAGCACGGCACTTGTCGTTTAGAAGTAGTTCTTATATGCTACTTGCTGACAAGTTTAGAGTTTATCACTCACCGAAAAGACTTAGTACTATGCAGGCTCCGGTGGATAGTTGATTCTAGTAGAAGAAAACCTACATTCTTTTGGTGGTTTCAAGTGTTTTTTTCTCTTTCTCGTATTTTGCTGACCTCACCAAAATTTTCAACAAAAAGTGAGTATTTCAGCTTACCCCCTCCAAAAGATCGGCATTGTTTATACTTATCTAATTCAGATAAACTCAGTAGAATGCAACTACGTGTTTGTTTTGTTTATCATTATGGTGCTACGGTATGGGGATGAGATCGATAACTCTCGTTTAAGAGATACCTGACCCTGATGACGTGTCCAGAACGAGTCCCAACATTAAAACGAAGCTTTATAGCCAAGATATATTAATTAGTTGCAATTAGTATATAATTTTTATCTTTATATCTAGCATGAGTTATAATAGTGTATTTTTTTTCATTTGTTTGTTTTTTTTTTTAAAATGGTTCATCAGGACTCCTATGTCTTTTTTTCTGCTCTTTTCATCTTCGTTCTATTATGATGGAACTATATTTAGGACCTCTTTTTTTTTTCTATTAAATGTTTTTTTTTCTTTTTTTTGTTTTTCTCTTTCTTTTCCTAGATAGTTTTGTTTTCTTTCATAGATGTGACATATTTTTCTTCCCTTATAGGAAAGTAAGAGATAAACTATTCTGCCCGGATCTAGGTGGAAAAAGTTTAGAAGGAAGGATAGGTAGTCTTGACAAGCCAGTGAGAACCTTTCGGTAAAGATTTATTCTTTGCAAGTGCAGTAAGGAATATTTTGGAGAAGAATCTTGCCTATAGTAAATTGCACATGGGTAATTTGGACTCTGGTCACAAAGAGCCGGGTGAGCTAATACTTGTAATTTAGATGGTGTTAGGGTTTATACCCTATGAAAATTTAATATTTCACAGTATAATATTATAAAGCCTAATAAAGTAGAAGCAAGACTGCCAAACTGTTAAAAAAAAAACTAAGATAAAAGTGATTATTTGCTAGTGATTGTGAAATTACTTATAAACTGCTTATTAGTTTTTATATGCTGTTCATGAGTAAAGGAACCTAAAAACAACCCAAATATAACAGATTTTGATTACATTAAAAATTTTCACCTATATGATAAATTTGCATGCACTTTGTGCCTCTTATTTTAAAAATCGCCAATATATCAAAATTTTACTAGGGTAACCCGTTGTGTAACTAAGCAAAAATGTTTCTCTTGCAATTTTACCTTACTCCAACTCTAAGACCTAACCCTAACCTAACCTTAGCCTAACCTTAATATCCACCTAATTTTTATTGGCTTTGCTATAGAGGCACAAAGTGCATGGGTGCACTGTCTAGATTTATCCTTATTGAATTTATATCTCTGGTTGAATACAGAAATATGATACTTTCAAAGCATCTTCGCTGGAAAATAATTGAAAAAAAATTTGAAGGCCAAACACTTAGGTGTTAGCATCTTTTATTTAAGCATTTTCAAAGATATGAATGTATTTAAAAGCTTCTATCACTTTCAGAAGAACTACGTTCACTGAACATGAACGATACAAGGTATTTTAAAACTTTAATGAAAAAACCTGATTGATATTTTATGAATTACAATCCGAGATGAAATTCTGGTTAGACGTAAATTAGTCTTATGACGGCTACGAACCCATTTGTATATACAATTAAAAGTAATATTTTATTTATATATATATTTATATACAGGATCTTTTGACACGTACTCCAATTCGTGCAATATCGATATGTTTATTATAAAAGTCTAATTAATATACAGTTTTAAAAACATGCATTTAGAGGTGTTATGCATTTAGAGAGGTAAAATCTATAAGTGTTATATTAAGTTGGGCCGAAAAAAAGGCATGCATTTAGGGAGATTTTACATAGATATGCATTTAGGGAGGTTGCATTTTTTTATATTTCTTGTTAAGAATTATTGACACACTAACATGTTGGATAAGCATTCGAACGAAAATTTAACAATGTTAACATTATTGTTACTACGACCTGTAAACCACAGAAATAGTTTTTATTATACGGAATTACAAACTTCGGCCAATTTTTATCAGGTGTTCCAGAAATTATGAAAATAGCGGGTGGTGTTAGAACCCTAGTTATTACTCTTTAATACAAATATTGTACATGCTGGCATTGTCAGAATCACTTCTAATGAAAGTTGGTCCCACTTGATCCGAACTTTTATATTTGATTATTATTATAAGAATTTCGACATTGCTATATATACTTTAAAGTAAAAATAATATAAAAAACTCGTGTAACAATATTTTGTCAATATAAAATAAGTATCCAATCAAAACGAATTTCCATAATGCTAAAAATCGTTCCAGTGGCACCTCTCACTGGAACCACTGGAACTCTAAAAAAATATGGACGTCCAGTGGGGTTCCAGCTTCCAGTCCAACAATACTGGCCATTTGGATTCAAACTTTGATGCAAATTCCACCACCTATTCAGAAACTGATTCAGATAATGGCGCATCAACTTTGATGCACCGTCGACCGAGTAGGGTAAACACTGATGTCTGCTTTCCTATGACAGAAGCAGCATATAAAGCTGGAGGTTTGGATTTCGATGCTCTTGAAGAATATATTAAAGATGAAAATGAAAAACGTAAGAAAGAGCAAAGAAGGAGACAGAGAAGATTAAGTGAACCAGCATCAGCTTTTTTCAAAAGACCTAATGGGAAATATAAACATTACGAGGAAAGTGAGGTTCGTTTCCAGGCGTGTTGGATCATATTATACAAAGGGATCCGATGCGATATTAACAAGTGTACTCTTGTGGGATCTCACGTACAGCCAATGAACCAAAAAAAGAATTAATTTGATTTATTTACACCTTTAAATCAGCATCCAACAGAATCTTCGTATAGATTCACTTTTTATTCTACAGCATATAGTACAGTGCATGCACGGTCGTTAGCAGAGATTCCACCAGCTGGTCTAACTCTGTCTGATATGATAAAAGCAGGATGTTGGTGGATTGATGTTTTATCACCAACAGATTTAGAGATGAGAGATTTTGGTAGGGTATGTGTTGCTTACGTTTTATACTTTGATTTGACATAAGAATCAAATCGTTATATTTACATCATCGAATAGATATTCGGAATCCACCCTCTTACGGTTGAAGATATAGAAACAGAAGAAACTAGGGAAAAGTGCGAACTTTTTAAAGAGTACTATTTTATTTGTTTTCGATCATTTGATCAGGATCATTATTCTCCAACATATCTTCAGCCTGTGAGCCTTTATGTTGTGGTTATGAAGGAAGGAATCTTATCGGTATGAAATACTTTCAGATCTGAATGATGATTTCAATTGTCTGGAATGCTCCGGGCATTAAAGGGCTTATTTTTACTAGCAGATAATTATATCTTCTTTATTTTCTTTTCTATCATAGTTTCACTTCCGGCCGACACCACACCCTTCTAATGTAAGACGACGAATAAGGCAACTAAAGGATTATGTTACGGTCACGCCAGGTAGGATTGTGTACAGTTACAAATTTGTTATTTATTTTAGACTAATCAATTCACAAATACGTTATACAGATTGGATCAATTATGCGCTTATTGACGACATCACAGATTCTTTTGCGCCATTAATTCGTACAGTCGAGTTTGAAGTTGATTCGATTGATGAATTAGTTTTGATTCTTAAAGAATCCGAACAGACGGACATGTTACGTCGGATTGGGCATTGTCGTAAAAAAGTTTTAGGATTACTAAGGCTATTAGGGAGCAAAGCGGATGTGATGAAAGGGCTCATAAAAAGGTGTAATGAACTTCGGTGGGATGTGGTCATTAGCAATGAAATTGTTCTATATTTGGGCGATATTCAAGGCATGGTTATAGTTAGCATATGCTTGGTCATGTTCATTAATATGTAGATTACTTATGAAACTCTTTAATATTTAGATCATATCATTACTATGGTTCAAAATTTGAATCATTATGAAAAAATTCTTTCCCGTTCCCACTCTAATTATCTTGCTCAGATATCTATTGAGATGACGCAAGCAAATAACCAAATTAATGATATCTTGTCTCGTCTCACTGCTTTAGGAACCATACTAGTTCCCATGAACCTTGTTACAGGTATTGTAACTTTTTTTGTAACACATTAAACCCAATTTTTTTTTCTTTATCTAATTTTTGTCTTGCTTTTATAGGTTTATGGGGTATGAATGTTAGAGTCCCGGGTCAGGATAAAGACAGCTTAGGATGGTTTGTCTCCATACTAATGGGATTGTTGATTTTCGCCATCGTAGGAGTCGTTGTTGCACATCGAACGGGGATCGTATAAAATTTATACATTTTTGATAGATTTTAGAATAAAAATATAAACAAATACAAATGTGAACCTTGGTCATAGCTTTTATAATTTGCTGTTAAACTAGTGAGGATATCAAAAGAATAAACATAATTGTGTTGATGAATTTTTTCTAAACGTAAAAAGCATAGCGGAAGTTTGTTTTGATTGTCTGAGACTATAATAAATTGATGATTAATAACATTTAATTGTAATTTTAAAATTTCTAATATATTTGTAATACAAACGTGCAAATGGGTTTGCCGAAAATAAGAATTTAAATTAAAAATTTAAAGTATCTCGACAACCATTTAAGCAAATTCATAAATTTTTTTGGATGATTGTCAAGATAATATCGTTCAAAGTTTGTAAAATTTAAAACTTATACATAATATACTAAACATTTGTGCAATAACTTTGAACAGATATCTTGACAACCACCTAAGCAAATTCGATGAACTTTTTTTATTTCAATTTTAAAGATTTCTAGAATTAAGATAAAAAAAGTTCATCGAATTTGCTTAGGTGGTTGTCTGTAAAATTTTAAAACGCCCATATATAATAACAGCAATAAACACTTGCACAATAATTTTGAACGAAGATACCTCGACAACCACCTAAGCAAATTCAATGAACTTTTTTTTATTTTAAATATGGAAATCTCAAGAATTAAAATAAAAGAATATCATCGAGTTTGCTTAAGTGGTTGTCGAGATGTCTTTACTCAAAGTTTTGTAAAAATTTAAAATACCTATGTACAATATGAATTTTTTAAAGATCTCAATTAAATTAAAAAAATTCATCAAATTTTCTTAGATGTTATTAAGATATTTTTACTCAAAGTTTATAAAAATTTAAAACATCTATATACAGTATAATTTAAAGCTTATTATTATTTTTTTTTATTTTTTTTAAAAGAACTAGACTATATAGAGCCTTATGCACACTACTGTATGTCCCTTCTCAATATCTTAAAATTTTATTAGAGTAGCCCTGTTATAACTAACAAAAATATTCTCGTAATATTTACTTGTTTGACTATTAACACAGGGAGACAAAAGTGCACGGAGCACTATTTAGATTTTTTTAAAAAAAAATTATTTTTTAAACAAAAAGATTTATAAATTATAATTTAACTTTTAATAACTAAATATATAAATTAGTTTTTATTAAATTTTATTTTTTTAATTGTAGTTAATTTCTAATAACGTCGTATTGTTAATTGCTATAAATTCGTACGTAGCATTGTCTGAAGCGTAGTAAAAAATCAAACATTTCTATCCCGGGAAATAATCTACAGTCTGTAAAGTGTTGTACATTTTCATTAAAGATCAAATTTGATGAAGATTTTTTTATTGAATTTTAACTGGTGGTTATTGAGAAAACTTCTCCCAAAAATCTTTGGACAATGAAAATATACAACACTGATTGTAAACGATTTATAAGAAATACGAATTATACCAAATTTTTGCCAGTTTACAAATTTTTATGGATGACGTATCTTGATTATATATTCCAATATTTAGCAGATCTAATTATTAGTATATATGTTGTGCCTCAGATTAATGCTTGCGTCAGATGTCAACTTTTTGGCCCGCATTAACTGATCGATATTGATTGACTTAAATTAAGCCCAAATCCTTCCCAGATTCTTACCCTAACCCTAATCTAACTTAGGCCGGTTTTAATCTGACGCAAGAATTGATCTGAGGCACGACATATACATGTAATAATAGCTTCGAAAAGTTTTTATCCATGCATTATTTCTCTTTTATATAGTTACCGGTAATTACAATAATCCCGTCATTATGCCAAGCTCACGGGCAATTATTAATACCAATACATATTAGGAAGGGTGGACGGTACACGAAATTGACCAATCAGATTACAAAAAGCCAACAAACAAATTAATTAAAAAAACCAATTATATATATACAATATATATTGGTTTACTTTTTTTTCATTTAGTAATATATTTTATTTATATTTAAGTTCAAAAAAAGTTAATTCAATACGCATATATTGTCACGAACCGAAATTTTTTGGACAAAAATTATGCAAATCATGTAAATTATTTTATCAAACATATAAATTTATTTTGTAACACAAACCATAAAACAATTTCATCAGAATCCATTAAAAACTTCGATAATCCGAAAAAGTAGAATAGTGCCAAAAAAAGGAGAATAAAAAAATAATAATAGAATATCAACGTTAACCTAATAATAGCAAACAAAAAGATTAGCATATACGTAGTGTTCTTTTTTTATACTAAATTGAGTATTTTTACGAGCGGAGAATGAATAAGAAAGGTGGAAACTCCAAAGAAAAAGGTTAGCCCTCGGGTTCTGGGAAAGTAAAAAAATATTAATTAAAAATTATACATTAGAAATTTGTGTTACCAGATCTACAGTCGACCGCGTGGTCGCTCAAGTCCAACCCCGGATAGATAAGCATTATCATTATACAAAATCAGGAATGAATGAAATGAATGATAAAGATGATCATTGATCGTATGTATGCACATACGTCTGTACGTACGTACATAATGAAATTCTCCCCTAATTTTACAAACACTACATTTTGGGTTAAGGTAGCACTTGTAGATTACCGTCTTGCCGTAGTTATCTAAATCGGGGTGCTTTTTTGTTGATTATAGATCATCTTATCTCTTATCACAATTAATCATGCAAAGTGACGAATATTACTGCTAAAGTGGTATGACGATTATTCTGTATATTTAATAGTGTAAATATACAAGTAATTGTGACGAAATTTCTGTCATAATAATCGTTATTTATAACGTATGATTATTACATTTTACTAAGGGTGTTTGCAAGATATCATACTAATAAATTGTATTTATAAACGGTTAATAACGATATAACGCAAAAATTTTAAACATTCAAAGGCCCATACCGGTTTATATACAATTTTGAGAAAATTTATAAATCTTATCTAAAGTTTACTTTGTGTTACGTTGCACCCTTCTGAAAAATTTTCCCGCGCCTTTATTAAATAATAATTCCCCATCTGTTACAGTAATTCATAAATTAACAAGTATAAATAATTCGGAGCTACGCTTTTCAGAATTACGGCTTTCATTTCAAAGCATTCTTTTATAAATATTGAGCACATAAAAATTTTTATTTAAAAAAAAAAAATGCTTTCTGAACGAACTTCATCCGGAATATTTCGTACCCATGCTTTGAATAATCATAAATATATCATCCCAATGAGAACTCCTATGCGTCGCGCTGGTTTTGTTTCACGAGCTGAGGCGGGCAAAATTTTAGCCAGGCTGTTAAAGTATTATGATAATATGCCCAATACGGGTAGGTTAAACTGAAATTGAATTGTGGGTTTTCTTTTTCTCTGAACGAAACTGATTTATTATTATTATTATTATTATTATTAGTATCCTATCGTGAATAAGCACTACACCCCTACCCACTTTTTTAAATATCAGATTAGCGGTAATAATTTGGCTAAAGACTTCATTGCGATTTCCGCTAATCTGACATTTAAAAATTGGGGTAGAGGGTGTAGTGCTTATTCACGATAGGATACGGTATTTATGATTTACAAAAAAAAGTTGTCCTTTCGATCAATTCTGCGCCTCTACCTCTGGCAAGTGAAATTGCAACAAAATTAAACCTACCGTTAGATTTGTTTCTTGTTAGGACCTTTAAGGCTGACGGATGGACTGTTGGCGCCATAACTGATAGAACAGAAGAGCCATTACTAAAAGATCAAATTATTAGGTATAAATTATTGCTAATTTATAAAATTGAAGAATTACTATCGATAATATTGATAACAATAAATATTGATAATAGGGGTTGCGATATCTCACAAGAAACTCTCAACCAAATAATTAGGCAAGAGGTAACTAATTCTCATTATTACTTTTCCGCTTTTTTAAAAAAAAACCTTTAGCCATAACTTTTTTTTTACTGCCCGCAATTACACGATCACTGTTTAGCGTTTTCAACTTGATATGCAAAGAACATTATTCCAACCACCGAACATTCCGTTCTCAACCTCGGAGGATTCCACAATTTTGCTTACCACTGATGGCATCCAAACTGGTCAAAGCGCTAGGGCCGCCATCACTCTATTAAGAAAAATAGGTTATAAAGGGAAAATCGTTTTGGTTGCTGGAGTTATTGGATCTGATGCTCAGGTATAAAAAACCGAATTTTTATTTGATGCTAACGAAAAAAAAAAGCAAGTTCTTATTTTTATATTTTTTAACTTTTTATAATAGAAAATGTTTATGAGGGAAGCTGACGACGTTATAGCCATAAAAGGACCACAAAGCGTTGGTACTGTTGGTATGTAAAATGATCGACTTTCAAACCACTACTTTAATTGCTTTAATTGCCTTAATAATACTAATATACGTACGTACATATTTATTTTTAAAATATTAGCCTCATGGTATGAAAATAATGAGGAACTGACGAACGAACAGATAAAAAACTTTTTAGGACATAATCGATATAGCAGATAAATACGATTTACATTACAACAAAGTAAAATATTAGGCCAAGTTAAATAAATACTTGGTCTCTGAAATTTTTTTTTTTTTTATACTACTGTACATGTATATATAACGAAGGATTATGTTTATTCCGAGCGCTGGTTTTATTTTTTATTAATAATAAATTAAAAATAAATAATTAACGATTAGAGAAATTTAATAGACCATTACACTAATATATTACGTATTTCGTCGATAGTATGAATATATTATTGTTGGTTGACGTTATTAGTGTTGAGAATTTTATAAAATTACATGCTATAAATTACAACCTTGATTTTATGATAAACTTGGTTTTGTTATTATAACTATAGCCATGTTTACTAGCCATCAAACGAAGTGAGACACAGATCTAGAAATAAAATACGTCATTAACCTTACGAATAAAGATATTGGATTTACCGTAAAACATATAAACGAATACATCGATCGTTTTCGATTCAATGTTCAGGCAATTGCAGTAGTAATAATAATACAAAAGGGTGAAACTTGTGTCAAGGATGCTTAAGGACATGTCAGATATTATCGCATTTACTATAGACACTCCTGAGATACTTAGTCCATTATAGTTGGTTATTACTTTTGTTTATCTATTCCCTGTAAAAATAGATAATATCTGGCATTCCTTAATAAAATATTAATTCTGCATCAAAAAGGTCACCCTTTCATATAATTATTAACTGGTATCAATTTGAAATTGCTCCAATAACTTTGGGAATTCTGCATTTTCTTTCTTTTCTTCCAAACTATTTTTGAATTTTGAAGAAATAGTTGGTGGATTTTTGAAAATTTTTTTTGCACTCTTAACTTCTTTCATAAAACTTGGATCATATATATTATCTGATTTAAGATTTGGTATGATATTTTCTATCGTTCCATAACTCTTAATCATTTCTAGTGCTTTTATGGGTCCAATCCCTCGAATTGTTCCGGAAAAATCCGTTCCACATAAAATGCACAGATCGAGGAATTCATCATGTGAAAGGTTAAGTAATTTTCGAATTTTAACCGGTGAAACTTCTTGAATCGGTTCTCGTTTAGTCAAAAATTTTCTTACAACTGGTCCTTCACCATATAATATGGTATCTGTATCTTCTGACACTGATGCATCGGCTAAACCATGTGTTGTTAATGATGCACATAATGCTTCCGCTTCGTACCCTTCTGATACAATACATGGAATTCCCCACACTTTCAAAAACTTTCGACATTCATTGTACATCTTCCAAGTAACCTTAATTGAGCATCTCCCTAAGCTTTTCATTAAATTATCATTTTCTGCTTCTATCTCTAACATTATATTACTTGATAATTTTCCGGTTAGTAAAGATTCGACAAGTCGGTATTCCATCTGCGTTATACCACGTCGCACTCTTGTAACAGTTTTATCATGGTCCATTGATACTACATCTTTCAGTGCCATCTTCACCATATCTTCCATTTCTTTCTTTAGTTTTATATTATCGGCTGAAGGTTTAAAATTAGGATATCTTTTTTTGAATATTTGTTCATCAGTCAAATTTACGATTGTTTTTAGTTTATCAACTGATAAAGTTTGTATTACTGTTTTTCTCTTCACGGTTATAACATCTTCGATATTTACTTTCTCTAAAGGTATAGATAGTGGTATCTCTTTTGTTTGACTTTTTATTGCTATTTCATTTATTAAAAATAATAATCGAATCAATTGTGTTTGTTGTTTCTGCATAACTTCTATACTAGTTGATCGAGATTTGGCTACTTGCCTAATTAATTTAATTAAATAAATTAAAATTGATATTTTCATTTCCTGTATAACTTTTGATCTTACATATCCTCTTGAATTAACAATATCCTTTAAATTTATCTCTTTGATTAACTTGTCGGATCCTTCAAATACATGATTTTCGAAATTTGATGAGTATTTTTATCCTAATTGAATGAATGTCATTAGATCTTGTATTGTCTTACCAGTCAAAGATTCAATTAATCGTAAAGCCTCTGCATCTTCAAATGTACTCTTCATTATATCCTCAACTTCAGAATGCTTACAAGATATAATATTCTGTAGAATTTTAATATGAATGTGAGTATCACTAGGTTGAAATAATGATGAAATCGTCTCGTCTACAACTTCTCTAAATCCCATTGTTATGTATTCTGAATTATCACTATCTTTCATTTTTTCCATTTTTTTAACAACCGATTTCCATTTTTCTATTCTTTCATTCTTAATATTTTCAAATTCCCATCCTTCTTGAATTTTTTTCGTTAACTTTCTTTTTCTTTTGGCCAATTCTTTACTTTTCTCTTTTATCCTTGTTTTGCCATCAAACATGAATATGAGCATAATATTATTTCGTTATAAAAGCACTGTCATTTTGTAAAAATCAAGAATATATGTATACGGATGATTCTCCTCATGACTATTAGTAGCTTTGATACCATAAACAAATTTTCGAAGATAAATACTACCGTCTATTGCCAATCTTTTATATTTATAATGGTTAAGAGTTTGTTGAGTTAATGAGTCAGGAGCATAGCATTGTATTAATAAGTTTAGCTTTTTAATACCCATTTTTTTTCCTCTACGATATTATACGAATAAAATAGTATTAAAATAAAATAAAATTAGATATTGTAAAGAATAATAAAAGCTTTGGTCGCGAACCGCGAATTTCAATCACGTATGATATTTGCGATATGTGACACATAATGAATTGTAAATATGTATAGTCACAGATAGTGATGTAGCCCAAACCCAATAGTTATTATAAAATATAAATTAATATCGATACGTATTATAAAAGTTTTCTGGTTTTGATAATAAAGTTGTTATTGTCAATTGGTACCAAAAAAGGTTTGGGTTACATCACTTTTTATAAATAATACTGTAATAATCTATTTATCGTTTAAACTTTGATTGATTATTTGATATCCAAAAATAAATAATATATAATTAAAAATTGGACAAATCACAATCACTTAAAATTTTTGTAAAATAATTAGTAATGACAACTAACTTCTATAAGTTATCTGTTATTTCTGCGTCATTATGATCGCTACATACCATAAATTGCCGCATAAACCACCCTGCATGACAAATTTTGCAGATCAATTTTAAAATAATATTTATAAACGATATGTGATATAAACAATTGTGTAGAACATGTGATTTTTAATTTTTCACTATGTGAAAAATCGCATCACATCGGGTGGTTTATGTGGCAATTTATGGTAGCATTTAAAAAAAACAAAAAGTTAATCACTATCAGCATACTGTAGTCCGGGAATATACCATATTTGGGGATCGCTAAAGCCTTGTACCTACGTAATTTTTGAAATTTTAATTGTAATTAGGGTTAGAGTTAGTTTAGCATTAGGGTAAGAGTAGTTTTATAGATAAAATTGCCTCCCTGACATTTTTTATTACAGCTGTTTTGAAAATTAGTAGGACACATGATGAATTTTGTGATGATCATCCAAATTTCGGTAATTATTTTTCGGTAATAACAGTGTAGTTTTTCAATAATATAATTTTTCGGCCGATATATTATTGTGGTATTGTTTGGTTTATTTCAGACTGATTTGGGATAGTTTGTTACAACACATCCCGTATTGGTCCGGCCAAAAAATTATATTATCGAAAAACTACACTGTTATTACCAAAAAATTACCAAAATTTGGATGATCATCACAAAATTTATTATGTGTCTCACTAATTCTGTAATGCAACAAGACAGGTTTAGACCACCATTTTTTATATTTTTGTGTTTTTTGATTTTTTGACTTCTTTAGGTTGATCTGTGTAAACAAATTTTATGATTTTGATTGGTTGATCTACATATAAAAAGTCATGTGGGTACAGGGCTTTAGCGGACCCTTATAACATAGCAGGCTTTTATTTGATTGGTTAATTTTTGTAGATCAACCCGTGATATAGTAAAAATTCTATTGGTTAATAGAAATTAATTGAAGTTCTAAATTTTAATTATAGTAAATTGTTACAAAGAAAAAAACTAATATATATAAAAATAACTATTAATAATAAAATTATTCTTACTTGAGAATACTTGTGTATTCACTCATTGGAGAAATGCAAGCCAGTAATTAGTCAATGCAAAACTCATAATAAGATGCAGGTGTTCTAAAGTGAGACTTCAAATTTCAGTGTAACTAGCAGATGCTAGCACATGGGTTATCAGAGTAATGTTATAAATGGTTATAGTTTAAATAAGTACTCCCTAGTTGGGATGCAGACACAGCAAATAGTATAGAACCTTTAGGCAGACTATTTAAATTAGACATCAAAAGTGTATTTGTGGCTTGATATACTATTGTTGTAATCATATCAATATAAACTGTTAATAAAACGGCATTAGGCCAAAGAGGTTACCTTAATACCAAAAAAAAATAAATAAATAAAATAAAATTATTCTTAGCTGATAATCATTTGTACCAAAAAATCTAAACACATATTTTGAAAAAAAACAATAATATATAGTAAAAAACGGAGGGTATACTAGTAGCTATAAGTTGGCAATTGTTAGTTAGAGATAGTTTTCATATGCTACCTGCTAACTTTTTTAGAGTTTATTACTCACTGCATGCACAATACTTGTTGTTTAGAAGTAGTTTTTATATACTACTTGCTGACAAGTTTAGAATTTATCACTCACTAAAAGTAATGCATAGATACTCCACCTCTTTTCTAGAAGAAGATTTAGAAGTTGTTGAGTTTTTCTATAAATATAACTACTTTTCTGGGTACAAGTAGTCTCTCTCTAGATGTTTTTCACTTGGCCGGTTTTTTTCAAAATTTTCGATAAAAAGTGGACGATTTGGTTTATCCTTTTCAAAAGATCGGCATTGTTTATTTCCCAAATTCGAACATACCCAGGAATGCAATCAGCCTTGTTTATTGGTGGATACAATATGTAATGTAATCTGTAGATACAGGGTTCTCTACATAACTAGAATTGGGTCTCTAATATAAAAAATATCTAGAGAAAGATAATAAAGATTTTATATTATAGTCAAGATATACAAACATTACAGTTGTTATAAAATTTTTTCTTAAATCTAGTATGAGTTATAATAGTGTATTTTTTGGCTTGTTTTTTTTTCTTTCATTCCATTATACTATTTCTTGATAGAGATAATTCTCCCTTTGTTGGCTCTTAGGCTTTTCTCTTTGATTTTCTTTTTTTACATCTCATTGTACTCTCTTTTTTTTTTTCTTTAAAAAAATTCTCTTTTATTCTATTTGTTTTTTTTTAGTTAGTTTTTGGGTTGTTTTCTTGGTAGTATTGGTGGTTTTGTATTAAATATAAGATCATCGCTTTTTTTTGCTCTTGGTAAAGAAAGAAGATAAGAAGAGAAAAGCTTTGATAGGCTGACAAAGTTTATTTAACTTGTATACAGGTTGGTGTGACAAGGCACATTTGGGCATGTTTATCGCAGCCGGGTGATGTCAGGCTCGTAATTATGAGACTCTCTGTTTTGGTTATAAATGATATATATTGTTTGAGAGAGTTTAACTCTCATCTAATATAGTCTTAATAAATTAAGCACTGGCAAAACTATTAAAAATTTAAAAAAAAAAAAAAATTTTCTTAGCAGAAGTCTTTATAATAAAATCTTAATAATTTTAAATCTAAAACTATAATCTTGTTATAGACAAAATTTCAACAAACCAAAATTTTATTAAAGAAATGATTCTAATATTTTAAAAAAAAAAGAAGATTCAAAAACAAACTAAAAATAAAAAATACAAGAAATAAATATTTGAACTTATTCTAGAACACTAATAGCTAATAAAAAAATAATCAAAAACAACTTTTGATACCACTCCAATATCAAACTAATTTTTAATTTTATTAATAATTGTTATATAATTATAGTACTACTACTTTGCTTTAACTTTTCTTATAAATTTATAAACCTTATAACTCTCAACTTTATATTCTTAGCCTATATTATAGTCAAGTTTATATTAGTTGTGATTACAAAAAATAAGTTTTTATAAAATATATAAAAGACAGTTTAAATAGCAAAGTTTAATTAATTTATTGTATCTATAAGTTAAACTTGAATATTTAAACATATTTCTCATCTGACTTTTGAATTACTTTGTAGATTACCAAATTACTTTGATAGTTTATAAACCAGAAGGTACTCTTTTGCTTTTTTTTGGTATCGAGTTTGGCCAATTTATCTCTGTAGCTGCCAAACCATTTTTGTACTTGCAAAATATTACACTACTATGTAGAACATATTGTGTAATATATTGTGTCGATGAGTAAAGCCTATTATGTTGACCTTTATAAGAAGATATTTATATAATTAGTTAATTTTTGCCAATCTACCCATAATTGCCTGTGATAGTTAACCAATCAAATTATCATTTAATTAATTGTCATAATTTATCTCTTAATTTGTATTGCAGATAAATTTGTTTGCAAACTTTTTTAAAATTTTAATTTTTTTAATAAAATCTTAAATATTGATTTTAGCTATATATTTTCTAAATAAA